CCTCCGTTTTATCACGTTGGAAACCTTATCACCCTTGAAAGGGAGGAAGATGCTCACCAGGTTTTGGGCACTGATATTTCAGGAGTTATTCCTTGTCTGCGGTTTTGATACTTATCAATGAATTTCTCAGGATAGCTGCTTTCAAGCAGCACATTCTTGAGAAAACTCCTCTCCTCCTGGATCGTATCCGCAGAACAGATTCTAGTGGCTCCATTGAAAATGCACAACAAAGACAACGACCGTCTGCAGCTGAATAAGTGGTCACGAAATTTATGACGTCATTAAATACAAATGACTTTGCCTCGGCTGCTGGAGGTGCTCAAAGATGAGCCCCAAGGCTCAACAAGGCGAGGGAATCCCGTAACCGACCAAAGAGCGTCCATTTAGCAGAGAGTAATTACTGTCATCCAAGTCTAGATATCTCTCGAATTAAGCGAGTTATCATACCGCGACCTTGCCATTAAACAACAAGCGATTGTATCAAATGGTCATAAACCACGACTTAACTACGCACTCCTTACCGGTACTAACAAAATATGCCGTTTTGCTCCATGTTTATCATACTATGTGTCAATTGTCAAATTTGTTTGATTTATTTCATTTTGCAGCAATACAAACAGTGAGCCAAAAAGTGTTAATATGCGTCTCAGCATACATTCTACATTTTCGAGCCAACAATGACTAGAATGCTTTTGAAATGAATAAGTGCGTGGTTTTAGTTGTCATTGCAATACCTTGGAAACATGGCGATAGCAGACAATAATCCCTTTGAAGATGGCGACTGGGATTTGGCCAAACCTTATGGTTCACGATTGTTAAAATCCGTTTTGGGAAGAGAAGCACGCTGTTGAGTTCGAATATCTCCTGAAAGTCCAAAGTACTTATGCTGGTGGCTGCCGCAGAAATTGCCGGCTTAAACGTGAAAAAGTAGAAATCATAGTGCTCGATTGCCTCACCGTCGTCATTGGAGAAACGGTATGTCAAATTTGGCAGAACTGGGACCGAGAAGGATCCTTCCATGAGCGGATCGAAGAAACCCCTGTTGGCGGGCGGTACACCATCACCTTCGATGTAGTTAGCGTAGGTCAGGCGAATGGCTAAGGCCACAGCAGTGGCCAAGGACACCTGGATTTGCTGTTGTGAAAAGTTCAGACGACAAATATTTGTTCACGTCATGAAAACAAAAGGAAGCGCCAATGTTTATCAGCCCGCTTATGCGGAAACTACCAGATATTTAAATCTCACATTCGTCCACATTCGAGGGCTATATGCTTTAGAGATAGGTTGCAGGCTGTCAAGTCAAATATAATGAGCGCTTCTGAGGATGAGGGGCTGTAACCGGCAACGGATTTTTTCGCAATATCAGCATTATCATCCGGTCAAAGGTAGGGCTTTGTTTTGAGGGTTCCGTTACTAAACACCGAGGTGTAACACCGCCTTCAAAAATGGCATCTTTATTTGAAGAAGTGATGACAAGCAGTAGTTGGAGTGACCACCAACACTTCTTTCCATAGAAACCGGTTATTATCTCTGACGATGAATCCACGACAGGTTTCGAAACGTCAGGCTAATAAACTTCTTGCCCGTTTTATAAGAGGCGATGTTCCCTCATTAGTCATTTAACTGACATATTGGATCCTTGACTCATGGTTAGCTGCGGTGAGCATTAGGGGTAGGCTTACGGCTAAATTTGGGGTTTGGGTTAGTATATGAATTAGGATACGGATACGTTTACCCGCATTCGTTTGATCATGACGCTGACATCTCCGTGAAAAAAAGAAAATGTTTGCAGAACTACTTTAAAAACATGTTGAAGATGTGTTCGGCTGCAATTACAAATAACCGGGATTGAGGCCTCTGCACTAAAACTCAATTGACATCAAAACTGGGGAGCACACCCGTGGATCTTCTATACAGCTCTGTAGGTTGCTTGATCTAACAAGAAATGTGCAAGAGTGGTTTGAGCGGGAAATAAGACCAAATATCACTTACTGTTTCGAGGATATACGCAGAAATGTCAAAGCCTTGACCAACTGGAAGGGCAGCCATCAAAAATGTACATTGAGCAGCGGCCCCGAGTATTCTATTTTCCGAGAGAATATAGCGCCAAAAACGCAAAGCATCATAAGTGATAACGTTGGCAGGATCCACCTGGATGATGGCAGTCTCGCTGTTTTCAAATATGGACATATTGTTCACCATCTCAAGAAAGTTGTGGGATATCAATAGGCCGCCCAGGAGAACAATAGCTGCAATTTTAAACAAATACTTATACTTATGAATACTTATTTTCTTGTGCGAAATTACAGAGGAAATCGAAGTTGGAACCAAAAGCAACACACTTAATTTGACAGCCAGGACAAAGGCGTTAGTTATTCTCCTACATCTGGAAAGTGCTGGTCCAGAGAATACTCAAACGCCAATTACATTTCTCCAAAAAGTATACCTACGGAGAAAAATAAATGAACAAAGATTGATGTTAATGCTTTCTAAATGCTCATGGAGAACAAGCATAAAAATGGCATGCCAACTATGCTTAAAAAGACCCTTGTTGCAGGGATAAAACCGTACTTAGCAACAGTAGTTTAAATGAATTGAGGCAAATGTTCGCGTCCCAGGTACATGTGTAGATAGTTTATGTAGGCCCACTCATTAATCCCTACCCCCTGCATGTTTTCCTACGAAAACGGTGGTGATAGGGTTTTATGGGTGGAGAATTAGGACACACAGTGGAATATACTTTAATAAATGCTAAATACATTTTTATTTTACTGTATTTAAAAGTGTTATTGATTTATATCTGTAGATTTCCCTAGTATTATCGTTTAACTTATTGCGGAAAAACCCGATTATCAAATTGCAGGTTTCCTGTGTATTTAGAAGTGTTGTTGATTTATATCTGTAGATTTTCCTAATCTGTATTATCGTTTAACTTATTGCGGAAAAACCCGATTATCAAATTGCAGGTTTCTTGAATTTCCTAAAAAAATCAAATGGTGGTTAGGAGGTCGTCTACTTTAATTTACCTGAGGTTCAACTTAGCACCGCGCCGCGCACACCTTCAATTTACATGCGGAAAAACTTACTCCCAGCGACCGCGGGAAGCAACTTCAACTGCATTTTTTTCACTTTACACTTACTTCTAAAAATTAACTTCTCTGACCGTTCTACTTCCGAACTCCCAAAACTCTATAACCACTGTTTTTGCAGGACAAAATGCTGAGACTATGGGGTATATAAGTGCGTCTACATAAGCTTCTCTTGCCGCGTACTTAAATCAAACTACTGTTAACACATTATCTTTAGAAAAATGGACACGTTTCAGCAATCAGATTAGAAATGTATGACCACGATGCATTGCGTGAGTCTTCATCGTTTGCCATATTCTTGGTCACGTAATTTACCTTGACAAGGATTGCAAAATCGCTCAACGATCTCTCGATGGTCACTGTCCAACTGCAGCTTGTGGATTGTGACTACATTGAGCCCTTTCCTATCAGGCTCTGTCCGTGACAGATAAAATTGCAGATTTTTGGCAAGTTCGCGGTACTGCAAAACCAATGGACTAGTCTCGTAGAGCACGACAATTGTCCTCCAGCCTTTCTGTCGCAGAAAAATTTCCAAAGCATGACTCAGTGTTGCGTCTTTTATATTCACTGCGAAGGAGATGATGTGTACGCGAGCCCCCGTTTGACTGGCAAGAAAGGTCTCAGCATACCTAAAAGACTCGAAATCTTGACAAACATAGCTGATCTGATAGAGGCTTCTGTGAGCTTCATCTTCGACGGTTGCGTCGGCGATCCAATCACTGATGAAGTGGCAATTGCTTCTAAGTCGTGGGCCCAAGAAAACAGAATAACCAGCAGTGGAGTTTTCCAGGGACCGAGCGTTCCTCAACAGGCTAATAACACTGCGGGTTTGTTTTCCCTCCACCATACTACAGCCAGGGATATGAGTGAAATGAACGTTAATGTTCTTTAGTGTGATTTGGTCATCTGTGTAGAACGCTGCGTAATCGGCGGTAGCTGCGATTGTTTCGAAGATATTGTAAATACTTCCCTCTGGCCAGCACACATCATCAATATCCCCAAAAAAGAGTTCTAACTTTTCCTGCGCCAGAACTACGGCAAACAGGAAGGTCCACATCCAAAAGATGGTGTTAAGAGAGCATGTCATTTTGAAAGCTTCTTCCAACCTCGGACGTTTTAATTGTGCTGTTGAGCACGAGCTTTTTGAAGGGGGACATAATCAGGTTTGGGCGTTGCCTTGGCCAGACGCAAGTGGTTCGTTTGGGAAAAATGAAAATTGCCTTTTTAAGGCATATGACTTGAACATTATGATATCTCTAATTGTTCTAATGACTGTGTCACTTCGTGCCCTCTTTCCTTTATGCTGCCTTTCCCGCATAAAAGCGCAAGCCTGAGATGATGCTTTTAGGAAAAGATTTTCCACGAATTTTCGACTTATCGGTGTGTCAAAATCGTTTTTCTCCCTAATACGTTGGTTTCCAACACAATCAAAATACCCAGGAATAACTTCGAAACAAAACTCATGGACAAGTTCATTTTGGTTTAAAAGTATTCAATAAAACATTTGTGTCCTTGGAAGCAATTGAGAAGAAGAAGGCTCGATCGCTGGGACATATTGTCCTAGCGATCGAGTCTTCTTCTTCTTCTTCTCAAAACGACATACATCAGGCTATTCAAAAATAATCTAGTATAAGGAGAAAAGCGAATTACTTTATTTCCAGTCAAACTGAACCATTTAAATTCCGGTAAAATAAAAACTTGTCAAACATTTCCATTTTCATTTTGACATTACTTTGACAAAGGTAATATACACAGAAATTCTTTAGCTGCATATCTAATTAAACTGCTTTGTAAAAAGGTAAGTTATTATAGAATATTTTGTTAACTAATCTTAGGAATAACACTATCGCACTTATAATGCGGACTTCCTTTTTGCTCGTTGTTTGCTGTTTTGAGGTATTTCTAAATATGGTTCACATGGCTATCCTCAAAAGAACTAATCTTCAAAAACACATTGTTTCGGTGAATGCTCTTACTATATATCTTATTTGACAGGTTTTAATGTAAACGTCAAACGAAATTTCGATTGATTGACACTGAAAACGTTAGAAAATAAACCGGAATTTAAAGGACGACATTAAATAAATAGTTATTCATTAGCAGTAATATGTATAATTTTTTGACCTAATAATATTTCTTTTTAAATAAAAAAGTGGTTAGGTTTTGTATTCGAATAAAGAAAAGATTTAGAATTGGTGTTCTGATGTATAGCTATTTTTACTTCTCCGGAAATCGGGGATTATCAGGAAAATTTTATTTTTCTTAACAAGCACTTAGTACTTCTTATACTTCTTTTAAACACTTGAAATGCCTAATGCTGTTCATTATTATTTCTATTTTTTCGTAAATGCGTTCACGTCGGTATGCGAGTACTGATCAAACATTTACAAACTTAGGCGTTTGGCATGCAGCACTCGCCATAATGTATATCTTTAGCTGATACATGTGCTATCAGAGTGGTAAATAGTTACGCAACAATGATTTAGTCCGTAAAAACATGATGCGATTATGCAAATCTAAAACATTTACGTAAATTCTGATAGCAGAGCTAGGCTGCAATTGCACCTGTCTTCAGGAAGGGATATAGATGATAACGATACAATCCCCAGTGGATTTACTGCGAATTTAATTTCTCATTTTCATTTTTTCATATGATGATGAATCCGCGACGGATGTCGAAACGTCAGGCGAATAAACATATTGTCGTAAAAGTGCTGAAACTTTGATTCCCGGGTGGTAGATCAGCAGAAAAAGGAGCGCTCACCGGGAGAGGTTTATTACAAGCCTGACGTTTCGAGTAGTGGTCTCGTCTACCCATCTTCAGAGAATGGATACTTTGGTTCACGACCCTCGTCTTTATGCCGTCTTTTCTTGCGTGTGCCTGTTCTACCAATCATGTTTGAGCCACTCTGTGTGTCTCTCGCCGCGTCTTCAGTCTCCTCGTTTGTCGGTCTCCTGCCTGTCGCCGTGTCGCCCACTTGTGTGTTCTTTCCGTGGCCCTTTGTGACACCATGACTGGCCGACAACTCCAAACGCGAATGCATGAACACAAGCTGGCCGTGGGGAGGTTGGACCCAAAGTCGGAGGTAGCAACCCATGCTG